GTTTTTAGTTGAGATAAAAAAGTCATTGTAACGAGCGCGATTCGAACCCACGACCTTCGGCTTGATACGCCGCTACTCTACCACTTGAGGTATCGAGACTTCGATCAATTCGGGCACTACCTCTCCATCTCAACCCCACCTTTTTGCCATTTTTCAAATGTCATGTAATCTATTTGAGTCCCGGCGACAAATGAAATGGCCACGGAGAGCTTTAGTGAAGTATACTTCATACTACTTCATTCTACTCTAATTTGGATGAACAGTTAGGGTATTTTTTTTTAATACAACGAGCTGACCTCCCTGTATATTTAGTAAATATTTGGACTTGTTTTAAACGTTACATTAATGTACGTGAGAGCTGTGATAACTACTTGAAGAAAACAGTGACCTAATGCGGGCCCCTTTTATTCTCATTTGACTATTACCAGGGCAAACAAGACGAATGCGACAACGCCCATGGCGAAAAGCCAATACTGTCTGACAATAAATCATATCAAGAATAGTCGAGCCAAAAAACTCACTTTTCGATTTACCCTGATTTTATGTTTTAAACAGTTAAAGTATTTACTATAGTATTTGGTGTGGCCCGTATTTAAAATACGGGTGGAAAATTTTTCCCGGTAAAAAACGTCTTGAAGGGCCACGTAAGAAAGTTTCGAAAGGGAAGTTTTTCTTGAAATGTTTGAGAAGTTTAGACCTCTGAAACTGAATATATTTGCAAAACAAATTTTTTTTCGGCCGACTATATAATTTTTTTAAACGTAAGATTTAAACCAATGTCGCTTAATAAAAGAAATAGGAAAAACAAACAAAAAGGGGTAAACAAAGAGTTAAGTTTAAAGAAAACAATAAACATAAGAAGAAGAGAGAGAGAAAAAGTGGAAGTAAGATAGAAAGATAGAGAGAGTGGTAGAAGTGGTAGAGAGCGTAAAAAAGATAGACGAATAGACCGTACAAACACACACACACACACACGTCTTTTTTAAATTGCCCGGCTGAATTTCTCTTGAACCAATGACGTACTCGGACTTCAATTTTAAGAGGTATGGCTCTCATCTTGTCCAGGGGCGTCGGGACTCTGATTATCATAGGCGTCTAACGTTTCTTGTACAAATTTACAAATGTCGATTTGGGAGGCTAAAGGAAACGTCCTTCCGTACATCCTTTGGACTGATGGATGAAGTTCACCTCTAATGGCATAATAAACCTTGAAATTTTCGAACGTGTGCAGACGAAAATCCGAGAATGTCGGGCTCTTTTCATCATCGCGTCGTTCACTGCATCAACGTTTTATGCAGATGTCTCGGTAATAAATTAATCGACCCTTATTTCTAAAACAATAGTTTCAATAGTTTGCTCAGTTTCTGAATTTTTTGAGGCAGGTTTTATACTATTAGATGGTGTTTCTCTGCAACAACGACAAAGAATGATTCATCTTGATGGATGCACCGCACACAATTCTTTTCAAGTGAGACGTTATTTGAATCCTCACTTCCGGGATAGGTGGATAGGACCTCAAGGCCCGATCTGTTGACCACCTCGGTCACTCGACTTAGCTCCACTTGAATATTTTATGTGGGGCCATTTGAAAAACAGTGTTTACACCAATCATAACCAAGCAACCTTAATTGAAAAACTGTAGCAACTATAGAAAATGGTATCAATTCATCTCCGCTGACTCTATCGCTCTGAGGACCAATGAAGAGAGGTTAAAAAAGCAAATCTTTGCATATTTACGCAAGGCAGGTAGTTCGAACATGAAATGTCAATAATAAATAACAAACCAAATGACTATTTTCAAACTTTTTGCCAAAAATTTGTCACTTTTTGACCAATTTAAAGCCTGATTTCACCATTGTTTTCAGCGTACAAATCCTTTAAAATGATGTGTCAGGATGTATGGGATCGTATTTGAAATTTTGATGTTGAACTGAGCCTGAGGTACCTTAAATAATTTTTCTTCAAAAAAAGGTAAAACTGTGAACCTAGACTAAAATATATTAAATTCGTATATTTTTTGATAGGGTCATTGGTTCAAGCAAAATTCAGCCGGGCCATCTTATCAGGGCACCTTGTATACAAGGAGGATGCACACGCAATCAAAAACTAAAAATGAATAACAATAGTCAGAAAAGAGAAAGAGTAAGAGAGATATACATATAGAAAAATAGACAGATATGTAGATAGGTAGATCGATAGATCTATAGAGATAGAAAGATGTATAATATATTAGTATTGAAATATAATATAATAGGTAGATGCACAGGCAATCAAAAATCATGGGAAGTGGATGACACAACAGAAATATAAAAAGAGGGAGTCAGAGAGGGCGGAAGAGAGAGGATGGGAAAGAGAGCCAAAGAGATAGATAGATAGATAGATAGATAGATAGATTGATGGATAGATAGATAGATAGAATACATATTTATCAAAATATACAAATAGACGAAATTCTAAACAAAATAATCCAAACATGTATTTATTAATCATAGTGGACCGTAATAATTATTTTAATTATTTATGTACGGTGATTAGTGACCGTTAGTCTATGATTATTCGGAAATCGTGAGATGTGCTATGTAGGTTTCAGAAAAACATTTTCTTTATCGTGCCAACGTTTCGATCTTTATTGAGATCATCTTCAGTGCCTGGGATTTATAAACATTGTTTAAATGTAACAAATACATGTAGGATGTGGAAAAAATGAATTTATACAATTTATACAATACATTTATATGCGTATACACAGAAAACAAATATTTCTGAGTAGAAATACTTTGATTGAATATAAAAAATATTTTTTTGCATTGTACAAATTCACTTTTTTCCACATCCTACATGAATTTGTTAAATTTAAATATTGTTTATAAATCCCTGTCCCTGAAGATGATCTCAATAAAGATCGAAACGTTGGCACGATAAAGAAAATGTTTTTCTGAAACCTACATCACACCAGACCGCATCTCACGATTTCCGAATAATCATTAATTATTTATTTTAAACAAAGATTTTCAAACTTTTTAATTGAGCTAATTTAACTTGTGATTCATGATAAAACATTTTTCTTGATCCGTTATAAATTTTTTTGTCATATTTAAATTGCCCTTCAGCTGGATTTAGAAAGAGTTGTAGGGTGCCATTCGAGAAAAAAATGTTTAATGTTTTTAATGTAATTGCAATGTAATATTGTAATTTTCAAATGTCGAGCCTTTCCTAAAATAGCTCTTTTAATTTTCATAGTTTAATATGGTTTAAATAAATCAGGATGACCTAATAAATAGCCTTCCTGCATAATAATCAGTTTCTGTTCCTTTTAGTTACAACCAAAGTGCAAAAAGTGTCTTTTTTTTTTTTATTTCTGTTCATAAACATACAAAATAACTTGTTTACTGAAAATAAAATCTTTTATTTATATATAATAATTTGTAAACAGATTAATGAAATACAAAATAGATAAACAAATGTACTGATAAACTGGGAAAGAATTAGAGTGGGAGTAAACGATTGTGAAGGTTGATAGAAAGGAAAAGTGGTACCAAATAAATATACACAGAATGTGAGAAAAAACAGAAAAGTGATTCAAGGAGAGAGAGAGTGAGTGAGAGAGCGAGAGGGAGGGAGACGCAAGAGAGTATTTTTCCGGGTTTGCTCTGTCCTGTTTTGGGGGATGACAAATGTAATTGAAGCCTCTTCGTTAACCGCTTTCCCCTTCATCAATTTGGCCTTAATATATTATTTAACATGTCTCCTTGTCTTCTTTCCAAATAAATAATAGAACGCGAGGATTGTCTCACAAGAAGACCTATTATTCAAGCTGTTTGGCTAATTTTTTTTATTAACGTATACTGTCTCTTGGTATTGACTAATAATAATAATACCAAAGTAATCAGTGGCCATTTTCTCAGATATTGTTTCATTTTATATTTTAATAATTGTTGAATGTTTCAATTAATTAAGGCTTTTAGGTGAGAAAAGAGTCAGTGTCACGAGCCACTTGGTTACTGACTTCCCAACGTCCCATCTCAACCCCACCTTTTTGAATTTTCCCTCTTTTTTGCCATTTACACGACATTGGAAAAATGGCAAAAAGGAGGTAAAATTCAAAAAGGTGGGGTTGAGATGGGAAGTTAGTGCCCGAGTGGTTCGACGTCACGACAGCTCAAGTGGTAGAGTAGCAGCTTATCAAGCCGAAGGTCGTGGGTTCGAATCTCGCTCGTGACACTGACTTTTTTATCTCAAGTAAAATCTTGATTAATTGAATGATATTAATTGGTCCAGCGGACCACGAAAACTAGCGAATTTAATAGTGAATAAAGCTCGTCTGTTGCAAGGACTTACACCTTTTTCTTTCGAATAGAACAGGTCGAGTTTTTGGTTACATTAGATGTAATATGGTTCCTAAAAGGATCAACTAGAACTATTGTCCACTTTCGCGTATGGGTTAAAAATTATCTAGTTTTACGATTTTAATTAAGTTCAAAAATATTAATAATGTTTTTCTGATTGAGCGGTTTTCTCTCTGCAGTAATTAGAAATCTTGTTAGGGTCTTGATATCTTCTGTCATTTTTATTATTTCCTTATGTCCATTATCTTGTATTCCTAGCCTTTTACTACAATTATCACAGAATGCAAATGTCCGCGAGTTCTTGACATTGTAAACCATAAGTTTTTATCATAAAAATCATCTTTGGTGTACTGTTTTGTTTTGAGCATCCCGAGTATCAGGCCAGTTTCCATTAGTAGTTTCACTTATTCCATGAAATTACTTTATGTACCATCAATCTTTTGATGTTCCTCTTTATGTTTTGTTGTTGCACGAAGCGATTTCATATGATATAACTTCTCCCTGGATGAAGGTTGTAGGCTTGAAAACATGTCTAGGGGAGTTGCCCATTCTTTCGGTACTACTCGGTTCGTTTTAACCTCTCAGTTATAAGATTATTCGTTAGTATGTTGAGTCGGTATGTTAAATTAATGGTAATTTTTTGTTTACAGATGGAAAGGACGAAGAGGAAGCGGCGGTGTTGATCAGATGGAAGATGAAGAAGAAGAAGAGTGGCGGGGTATCGGGGTTCTGGCCTTCTTCTGGCTCCTCCTCGCCCTCGTCAACCCAGCCAGGAGCGAGCTGGCTACTCAGGATCGATGCGCACACGATACCAACGGCAGGACAGGTTCGCCGAACCACATCCGTTTCAGCCTGCAGCATCCGATTTTCGAAACGGACATACTTGTCTCCGGTATCAGATACCAAGGTAGGACACGTTTACCTGTCGAAAATCCAAAATTGATCAAAACCTTATGTAATTTTTTCGTCAATTTTGGCAAAAAAGTAAAGTAAAACGGTGGTTTTTGTTATTAGGAAAAATATCATTGTCATTCACTAGTTTTTGTTGTCCGCTTGACCAATTAATATCTTTCAATTAATTAGATAAAATTCAAGATGGGAAGTTGGTGTCGTAGTGGATCGAAGTCAGGACAGCTCAAGTGGTAGAGCAGCGGCGTATTTAGCCAAAGGTCGTGGGTTCGAATCCCGCTCGTGACACTGACTTTTTTTATCTTAACTAATCACCTTGAATAATTGAAATATATTAATTCGTCAAGCGGATCACGAAACTAGTGAATATAATAAGTTTAAATGAAGTATACCTTCACTAAAGCTCTCCGTGGCCATTTCAATTGTCGTCGAGAATCAAATAGATTACACGACGTTTGAAAAAAGGCAAAAAGGAGGGAAAATTCAAAAGGTGCGGTTGAGATGGGAAGTTGGTGTCCGAGTGGATCGAGGTCACGATAGCTCAAGTGGTAGAGCAGCGGCGTATCAAGTCGAAAGTCGTGGTTCGAATCCCGCTCGCGACACCGACTTTTTTATCTCAAATAATCATTGTCATTATTGAGAAATTGTCGGCCAATCATTAGAAAGTAACAATTTTTTAAATCGTGCACAAAATTTGATCATTTCACGAAGAAGATATATTATTGTAAATATTTAAATTTTTCGACTCCATTAGGATGAAAATAATTATGTCAAGATTTAAAAAATAAAATTCTTTCTGATGACAAAGTGCATTTGTCCAAAATAGTTCTTAAAATGTATTAAATTTCCAATATTTCGCTAACAAAACCTTCCATTATTTTTGGAAAAAGAAATCGGAAAACCTATTCCATAACTGATTTGGTCGGAAAGGGCGATAGAGGATGAGAATCCTTTTCATGTTTTAAAAATGGATCCACGCTCAATCCATTTCGTGTATTACCTTCATGCCTGTATATATATTGTTGTTATTACATATTTGTTATTTTATCTCTGTTTGAACAAGCTACCTTTGCCCAATTGACTATTTTCTTTGATATAGCCGTAGAATAACAAAGTATATTGCGTGAAGTTAATTCATATATAGATTCGCAATACGGTCTTTAATAAAACTAAACCATATTGTATAAAGGTTAACCCCCTTAAATTAATTAAAATTAAGCCAAGATTTATTTCAATATTTGTTTTTCAATAATTTAATTTTCACAATTTTGACTAAAGTTAATGCTCGTCTCAATGCTGTAATAGCGCTCCAAATCAAAAATAACCTTAGCCTAACATTTGAAAAATAAACACTTTCGTTGAAAAAATACACTGTCTTAGTGAATCAATTAATCAACGGTCACTAAATATTACATATAATTCAATTATTTTAAATATTTTTCCTCGCTCCTAGGGCCATGCTTGCTGGATCTGCTTTATGTAGCTGATACTGTCCGAGACTATGCAAAATTTATTCCATTCCAACATAACATAAGTAAGGGCTTTTGTATGCGCATACATTTCAGCATTAAAAATGATATACATGATGGTAGCATTGTTTTTTTTGTAGTTCTTAATTGGGTTGTAGTCGGCGCAGCCTACATTCCCCTTTAACTTCGATCCATCCGTGAAAATTATGTTTGATTAGATAGCTTAGTGATCTTCTTCTATCATAGAATAGTCCCTTAAGTACAGTGTATGTGGACTAGTTGTATGACGTTCTAGATGCAGAATAGAATGAAGTTTATTTTTGTACACTAAAGATATGTCTGGGGATAAAGTGAGAAAAGCATTTATAATGGGCAGAGTATTCTTTTTGTAGCAGTATTTTTCAGTTAGAATTGTCGACGATTTTCATCTTGCAATTTAAAGTTATGTCTGTTTATAAAATATTTTGAAAGTCATCACTATTCCGTTTAAAACATTAAAACCTTTGTTTTTTATTAATTTTAACCGTGGTCCTCTAAACTGAGATAAAGATAAAGTCGACAACCCATTCTTGTCCAAAATTTTCTCAGACCAATAACAAATTTAGAAAAGTTGCTAAAATTTAGCTAATCCCATGAGATTAAGGCCGGTGCAATGTTTTACTTCCCATGTTTATCTCCCCGTGTATTGGCAACACTGATTTTTTTGGCGCCAATTTAAAATATGTATCTTGTTATCTTCTATCTCCAATATGGCTCTTCAACATAACACTGCATCTTGTTTCGTTTGTTTGCGAACATAATATTTTTTAATTAAAGTTTATCATTTAACCCTTTCTTGCCCAAAGTTGTTTGAGAACAATGCCAAATTTAGCCATTTTGTTAAGGTTAGCAGGAAATCCTGCGAGCTTAGGGTGAGTGAAGTGTTTTAGCATCCATATTTCATCCCGTATATTGGCAACACTGATTTTTTGGCGCCAATCTTAAATCTCCATCTTGTTATCTTTTATTCTCAACCTGATTCTTCACCATACCACTCCAGCTTGTTTCAATTGCTTCCCAAGAAATTTTTTTTTTCATATACAGTTTGTAATTATACCCTTTCTTGTCTAAAGTTGCTTCAGAACAATGCCAAATTTAGCCATTTTGTTAAGGTTAGCAGGAAATCCTGCGAGTTTTGGGCGAGTGTAGCGTTTTACCATCCATGTTTCATACCGTATATTGGCAACACTGATTTTTTAGGCGCCAATCTAAATTCTCCAACTTGTTATCTTCTACCCCAAACCTGATTCTTCACCACACCCCGTCCTACATCATCTCTAGTGATTAACCAAACTTTTACTGATGATATAGCACTGCATTTATAAATAGAAGAAAAAATGCTGAACAAAGAAAAAGAAGGTACCCACCGGAAAGTTCAATAAGAACGAGCTTATTTTTTCTGCCTTGAAATTCCATGAGCCAACGATGCAAATACTTTAGTGAGACATTGCATGCCTGCGAAGGAAAACACCTATATAATATCATCACCATATAGTATCATCACAAAGCATGCTTTTGTCAGTAAAGTACTTGTAATAACGAATGAGTTATTCTGAATCTTTGATGTACTTAGGTTCCCGATATATTCTTTTTGTATGAATATCGTATAAATCTTTTTTATGCAAAATCGCATTTTTCATAGTTTGAAATGTTCCTCAACTTTCATGTCTTGTTTTGGATTCAATGGGAGAGGGCTAGAGATTTAACATTTAATGCCTAAAAGACCCTGCTGTTCTTCTCTCGCATTGCTAAGTTTGTTTTATATTTCTTTTATCTTTTGTGGTTAACTTTTTTTGTTCCCCCAGATTGCTTTCTTTGTTTATGGATTGTCTTTAAAAGTTGTGCTTTATTGATTTCTTATGAACCATGGGAGTAAATGTGACGTGAATAATAAATCCCATGTATAGCAAAGGACCATCTTCTGGTCGCTGCCCCCCCCCCATTACAGCGTATGTACGGCAGAATTGTATGAATGGATCTACCTTCCTCGTATGCGCCGACTCTCTGAGCGCTGTTTGGGCCCTGCGAGACGGGTTCTCTGTGAACCCTCTCGTCGTGCTTTTGATGGAAAAATTCGCCGAGGTGAAGCGCCTAGGAAAAACGGTGGTTGTAGTCTGGATCTTCGGACACGTCGGGCTGGAGGCCGGGACGTCCCACCTCCAGACCGGACCATCGCGACAAGGCCCTCTGACGCCAAGCAAGCAACAAAGAACATGATAAAAGAAAGATGGTAGCGTCAGTGGGGAGTCGTCCGAGAGTCTTTTGCTCGTCAAGAGCACGATTCGTAGATGGCCCCCCGAGAACCTGAGCCGGAAACAAGGAATCGTCCTTACGCGATTAAGAATAGGCCATACGCGGTTGACACACGGGCACCTGCTCTTGGGCCAAGGCCCGCGCAGGTGCCCATTATGCAGAGAAATGTTGCTCGATGTGTCCCACATACTGGAAACATGTCATGCCTTGGCTCCCTATAGGGAGCATGTAGGCATGTCATCCAATCTGAAAATGGTACTCGAGCTCTGGAGCGAGTTTCTGGGTCCTCTGTTCCGCTTTTTAGGGGAAATTGTTTTTTTTATTGTATACAATATGTATTGAGTGTCTATATGTTTTGTCTGAGTGCATGTATTTATTAGCGTGAATGGCGAGGGGTGAGGGTGAAATTTAATGTCATTATAGCCCCTCGAACGTTGAGAGCGTATGAGTGTGTGTTCGGGGTCGATGGCAGAATATAAAAGTACTCCATCGACCCCAATCTAGGTTAGTTTGAGTATAGGTCGGTGGAGGAATATCAAGTGCTCCACCGACCAAACGGAATGAGTGTACTGTATGAATGTATTTATTTGTATGAATGTATTTATTTGTATGAATGTAATGTTTGAAAGGGTAAATAGAATATAGATTTAGTTGGGAGCTGAAATGACCTAGATGTCTGAAGCCCCAGTCAAAAAAAAAAAAAAAAAATTCCAATACGAAACAATAATGCTTTCTGTTTATGGTAACTTTCGGGTTGTTTAATATACACAAAAAAAGAAATGGAATTTAATTTTGTCAGCCCATATTTCAGGCATATTAAACAAACTCTTTTATGGTAATAACAAACAACAAAAGTAAGACGGTTAAACATAATTGGGAAGAGATTATATAGCAGAGCGTGCCATAACGGGACTAGGATTTGCTACTTTCCGACCTAATTAAGCGAATTTAAAAGCTTAAATGTTTAAATAGGCTCGTCGCGCCTCGCTTCCTCTGATGGTGGACCCTTGTTTTCTCCTCGACAAGGGCCAATTAAACAACGACACAACCATTTACACAACACCTCGCTATCACTTGTTTTGCAATTCCATTTCAAATGGGATTTTTTTAATTGAAAAACAACAAACAAGTCTACTTTTTGCATAGTTACAATATAAAATACTCATTTTTAGCTGTGGTGATTAGCTTAAAGATAAGGGTCACGTTTTTGTTCAATTTTTTCTAAATTTTAAGCTCC